GGGCGTGACAAAGGAGGTCTGGTGTGGGGGTAGCAGAGTCCCAGGTGAGACGCCTCAGTGGACAGAGGCATGAGCTGGCATCGGGTCTACATGCTCTGCCCATCTAACAGGCTGGCATACCTTGAGAATGCTCACAAGTGCCCATTTTTCTTACATTGAATTTTGTTCCATTGGTGCCCCCATGTGGCCTTTTAAAGCCTTCAAATTAGAGTTTTGGTAATCCTAGGGCACACTAAGGCCTGAGCTCAGCAGTCCTGGGAGGACCAAATGTCCCCATTCTATAGATGAAGTGCCCAGGAGGGATGACATTTACCCAAAGCCAACACAAGTCTTAGACGCAGCCTGTATGGCGGTATCATTGGTGCACCCACATGCCAAATCTCAGCCTTCACAAGAACCGAGATTCAGAGAGGGTGTGGGTCTTGCATAAGGTCACACCTACATGGCAGGTCCAGGTTAGCAGGCAGGTTTGCTCTGTCTCACCGGATTGCTGTCCCTGCAGCTGATCAAGACTGCTGAGCTGGACCCCTCCCGGAACTACCTTGCCGCCTTCCACCCCCACGGGGTCCTGGCCACCGGAGCCTTTATCAACCTGTGTACCGAGAGCACAGGCTTCCCTTCCAAGTTTCCCGGCATTCGCTCCCACCTGATGATGCTCAACGTGTGGTTCCGGATCCCCATCTTCAGGGACTACATTATGTTGGGGGGTGAGTCTTCCCATGCTGGGTAACCAAGAAGATGAGTCTGGAAGCCTGGAGGAAGGTTACTAACAGTAACCTAGGGCTCTTGGACTTGTGAGGCAGGAGGAGGTGGCGAGGCCCAAGGAGGCCCTGCCCCTGACTCAGCGAAGAGAATGAGCTCAACAGGGGGTTGGGAAGAACGAGAGGGCTTGTCCCGGTCCTCAGGGGACTCCCAGCTGGAGTGAGTGGGATGGAGATCCATGTCTCTGTGGGGACTATCGGGATCTCTCTCTTTTTTTTTTTTAAAGATTTATTTATTTGTGCATACAGAACTGGGATACAGGCCAGAGGCTCAGGGGTGGCGAGAGGCTTCACCAGAGACAGAGTGGGTAGTAGAACAGGCAGATCGATGAAGTACACCGCTAAGGGGAGCAGCGGGCGGGTCAGGAGAGGTCTGCCATGCCATGTGGTCACCTCCGGGGCAGGCGGGAATTGAACTCATGCGGAACTGGCTTAAGCTTCTTAGTGCTGCGCTTTAACCCGCTGCGCCACCAGGGAGGGCCCGGGATCTCTTTTTTGGGTCACATCCATGCCTACAGTCCCTGTGCCTTCACCTCATACCTGACCACCTTCTCATCTCTCCAGGGCTGGTGTCATCAGACAAGGAGAGCGCCGCTTACATTCTGAACAAGAAAGGGGGTGGCAACCTGCTGACCATCATTATAGGGGGCGCTCAGGAAGCACTGGATGCCAGGCCTGGAAACTACATGCTGCTGCTGAAAAACCGCAAGGGCTTCATCAGGCTCGCCCTCACACATGGGTATCGGGAGAGGGTGTGCTCTGTGCAGACAAGAACTAGCAAGGATACTCTTTTGGAGGGATGAGAAAAGCAGAGACTAATGCAGATCCTATTTTGGAAGGGAGATTCTGAGTCCCTTCACAATGAAGATTATGTTTTGATGAGAAATGGAGTGACTTTTGCACAAATACCTAGACAAGACTCCAGAAGAGAGACTAGGTGGTCAAAGGGACTAGAAGGGAAGGGACACGCTAGCACTAGATCTGAGACTGAGGGAATCTGGGAGAATAGTTGGGTGCACATCAGAGCTGTTCTCCCACCTTGAAGCCTCTTGGAAGAATATAAGCCCATTGAGGCAGGAGAGATTTTTCCAGGAAGGTTGCAGATAGTTTGTCTCTTGGAGGACTCTCTGAAGTCTCTGTTCTAGCTGTCGTGGTGCAATGGGGAGATTGTGGCCCCCAGAGAGGCCAAGACCTGCCCAGATTCAAAGAACATTCAGGCCTCCAACTGCTGGCCCAGACCTCTGTCTTCTGCTCCAATTCTTGATCATTGGGTCCTTGTGCGAAGCTAGGTGACCAGCCTGGACTACCTTGGGGCCTCCCACATACTTTCTCTCTGTCTCCTTTCAGGGTACCTCTGGTACCAATCTACTCCTTTGGAGAGAACAACCTGTATGACCAGGTAGAGAATGCACCAGGCTCCTACCTGCGCTGGATCCAGAACCGGCTGCAGAAGATCATGAGCATCTCCCTCCCCCTCTTCCACGGCCGTGGCATCTTCCAGTACAGCTTCGGTGTCATACCTCACCGCCAGCCCATCAACACCGTGGGTGAGTCAAGACTCAGGCTGGGAGAGAGTGGGCTGCAGGGAAAGGGGCCCAATTCTGTGTTGCAAGGGGACATGGAGACGGGCCAGACACATCCCTGCTTTTTTTTTTTAACTTTTTTTTTTAAATTATAGTAGTTATTTTTAAAAATTTTTTAAAAGATTTATTTATTTGTACAACAGAACTGGGGTACAGGCCAGAGGCTCAGGGGCAGCGAGAGGCTTCACCAGAGACAGAGTGGGGAACAGAACAGGCAGATCTACGAAGTACACTGCTGAGGGGAGCAGCAGGCGGATCAGGAGAGGTCTGCCACGCCATGTGGTCACCTCTGGGGCAGGTGGGAATCGAACTCATGCAGAAGTGGCTTTAGCTTCTTAGTGCTGTGCTTTAAACTGCTGCGCCACCAGGGAGGGCCTATAGTAGTTATTTTTACATTTTATGTCTCTGTCCATCTCAGTTGTAATCCCCTTGGGCTTCCCATCACCAGATCAACTAATGTGCCATCACCATAGTCCAGTGCATTCCCCCCCCCCCATTTTTTATCCCATTCCCCACTCCACCCCCATAAAATGTCTCTGTATAAAGCTGTTCATCATCATTATTATTTTCTTCCCTGGTCCTTTATGCTCCTGCTATGAGTGAAACCATCCGATATTTTTTTTTTCTTTCTGGCTTATTTCATTAAGCATGATCCTTTCCAGCCTACATCCATGTTGCTGCAAAAAGCATAAGTTTATCTTTTTTTGATCGCTGAGTAATATTCTATTGTGTATATGTACCACATCTTTTTAACCCAGTCATCTACTTTTGGACATTTGCATCCCTGCTTTTTTTGATCTCACCTTCGAGGCTAGGAATCAGACACTCAAGCAGATACTTCTCCTGTAAGGCAGGATGAAAACTTTAATGGGTTCAAAGCAGTTACTCGCCACTACTGGCCACTGGGCAGCTGCCTGGTGCCAGGTGCCTGGCTCTGCACAGTTCCCTTACATGCAGGAGCTCAGTTTATCCTTGAAGTCTTTGAGGCAGGGATTATTATCCCATTTCATGACTAGCAAACTGAGACTCAAAAAAGTTAAGTAACTTCCAAAGAATCAGGCTACCATTGAATAACAAATTTATGGTTTGACTCGGTGTCTTTTTACTTTTTTTATGCCAGTGAAGGAGTGTTTAATCCCAGCCTAGAGGATCTAATAAGACTTACTGGAAAGCTGATGCAAAGAAAGGGCATTCCAGGGCCCTCCCTGGTGGCGCAGCGGGTTAAAGCACAGCATTGAGAATCTAAAGCCGCTTCCGCATGAGTTCGATTCCCGCCTGCCCCGGAGGTGACCACATGGCGTGGCAGACCTCTCCTGACCCGCCTGCTGCTCCCCTCAGCAGTGTACTTAGTAGATCTGCCTGTTCTGCTCCCCACTCTGTCTCTGGTGAAGCCTCTTACCGCCCCTGTGTCTCTGGCCTGTACCCCAGTTCTGTATGCACAAATAAGTAAGTCTTTAAAATTAAAAAAAGAAAGGCATTCCATTTCCGTTGGAATTGTGTGCAAATAGCAATGGGTAGGTCATGAATAATACCAGAAGGATGTTTCTGTAAATAATGGGCATGATGTTTAGTGCATGGAGTTAGCACTAAATGGACTTACATTATGTGAACACCTCATGCGTTTTCTCTCCAGAAGACTAAGTTGGTAGAAGGAAGTCCATTCCTCTCCATCCACCCATTTGTTTATGAGTTGAGCACAGTCTTGGTAAATCCTTCTACCACGACCTTCCCTGTCTTGTGTGGGAATTTTCACTAGTGTTAATATCGCTGCTGACCCTAGAGTTATTCTCAAGGGGAGAAGGCAGCCAGGCAAAGCTGGAAGGATGAAGTTAGTTTTGGGTCTCTTCCTTAGAATGATGGGCAGTGCAGGGCAGGATGGAAGAAGCAGGGAGAAATGGAGCTGCTGAGGTTGTGGCTCTACCTTATTCTAGAAAGATGGGCACTACTAAGGTGGCATCTTAGACTATCAAAGCTTTATGGCTTGGAGGCTACATATGAAGGATTTAAAATCTAGCACTGAATCTTCGTGGATCTGTGACCTTGAACAAGTTACTTAAGCTCTCTGAGCCTCAGTGCCTCGCCAGCCAAGTGGGAGTAATAACAAGTTCTTCCCCCGAAGGATGTTATGGAGTGAACAGAGGTAAAGCATGCAAAGCACCCAGCGCACTGCCTGGCACATTGCCATGCCAGCTGGGGGTGCTGTTCTTATAGCAGAACTTGCAGTTCCCCTAACATCTTGGAATGCATCACCTGACATTAGGAGTGGAAGAGATGGCAAAGCACTTTCCAACAGGAGTAGACATATGCCCCAAGGACCTCTCTGACCCTGCTAGTTGCTGATCTGTCACCCTGCCACCTTTGTGTCTTGCAGTGGGGAAGCCCATTGAGGTGCAGAAAACCCCAAATCCCTCGGAGGAGCAGGTGGACCAGCTGCATCAGCGCTATATGGAAGAGTTGTGCAACCTCTTTGAAGCCCACAAGCTCAAGTTTAACGTCCCTGTCGACAAACACTTGGAGTTCTACTGATCACCTCACCAGAGCAGGGGCTGCCCCAGAGGGCAGAGCTGGCCAGAGGGAGTCCAGTAGGAGTCCAGCTGTGATTTGAGAAGCCTTCCTGGAGGTATCTGTTGTACACAACTGAGCTTTTCCAGATGCCTGCAAAACTAACCACTGCTGGACCCCCAAGTCACTGCTGGCATCATGACAGAAGTCCAAACTCTAGTCCTAGGATTGCCACTCCTGCTGCAATGACTCTGCTAGTCCCCCCTCTTTGATCTGCTCCCCCGTGCTGCTGAAGAGAGGGCTGCAAGAAAAAGACATTGGGGTCTCCGTCCTTTGGCTTAAGGTCACTAAGTCAACAGGGAAAACAGCAGACCATTACTAGATTCTCCCTCTACCTTGAGTGACAGCACAGAAGAAGCCACCAGCTGTTCCCACAAGCTCGCCCATCCTGTACCCTGGACGTCCTATTTCCTCTCTCTGTCTGGCTGGGGAACTGTGAAACTCTTGCACTTTGCCAGCACCTTTGAGCTTCTGGGTCGTCTGACCTGCAGGTGGGGCCCCAAAAGTTGCTCAGTCGCTAGCTGTCTGATGTCGGCAGGCCTCTTAGCCTCAGTGTCCCCTGTGGGCTAATGTGAGCTTGACTCTGGCATCTCACAGGCTGTGAGTTTCATGAGAGCACCTCTTACTAGTTCTTTGTAACTTCACCCTTGATGTGGTAGGTAGATCAATATCATTTCAATAAATAAAAGGAATCTACACGAGCCTTCCTCATCTGCATCCCTCAACTAAGAGGGCTGGGCAAGCCTCACCTTTGACCCTCACCTTTACTAGGGAAGCAGGGCCAGGCATGCCGCCTCTTCCCTTCTGATCCATCAACCCCAACTACTATGCCTGGCTTCTCTATTGGGAAAGAACAGAGGAAGGAGATGTTTTGACAGAGAGTGAAGGCCAGCTGTAAGGAGTCTGTGTGTGCAGGACGGTGAGCCAGGAGCACTCTGCGTACCTGGGCTTAGGACACGTGTCCATGATGAGGGGTCAGAGTGTCAAGGTCAGGTCAGTACTTGTGAATCCCCCTCACCCTCTCTCCGCCGGGGAACAGTGTCCTTTCCCTTCAGGAGCAGATCATACAACATACAACATGGGGAACACTTCGAGAAGTGTGAATTTGGGTTCAAATCCCAGCCCACCCTTTTTTGGTGACCCTGAGCAAGTTATATCACCTCAAACCTCAACTTTGTCACCTAAGAAATAAGGGTCACAATGCCCATTTGCAGTGTTGTGAATATAAGAAAACATGAGATGGCCCTTCCTGGTGGCACAGCGGGTTCAAGCACAGCACTAAGAAGCTTAAGTCACTTCTGCATGAGTTCGATCCCCGCCTGCCCCGGAGGAGATCCACATGGCGAGGCAGACCTCTCCTGACCCGCCCGCTGCTCCCCTCAGCAGTGTACTTTGTCGATCTGCCTGTTCTGCTCCCCACTCTGTCCCTGGTGAGTCCTCTCACCCTCCGCATGCCTCTGGCCTGTACCCCAGTTTTTTATGCATAAAGAGAAAATAAACCTAAAAAAAAAGAGGGGGAAAAAAAAAAACATGAGATGATCGGCCACTGCACTGTCTGGAACGATATGGAGCATGTAAGTGAGGAGTCAGGTGACACAGGTGCCAGCACCTCATGGAGGTGTCTGTCACCATCTAAGGAGGCCATGTGGTCTCAAGGCCAACGGAGTGAGAGTAAAGGGCAGTGTTCTTCGGAGGGAGCCAGTTCCAGCTGGGGGAGGCCTTGGGGGAAGTGGCAGGTGGGCAGGCCTGAAGGAAAGGCGAGGCTTGTGGGGGGGGGATGATTAGCTGACCGTCCAAGTCTTCTAGTGCTGTGTAATGAACCTCTCCAGATGTAACGGGTGCAGACAGCAAGGCTTTATTGCTTACCACCCTGCAGTTTGACTAGATGGTTCCTGGTCGTGCGTGGCTCTCACAAAGCTACACTCATGGGGTCCGGAACAGTGTGGGGCCAAATGGGCTGGGCCTCTTTGTGGGTGGGCACTGGGCATCTCCCACTGGCCTTCGAGCATTCAGCAGTAACTAGATTCAGCGCCACCGTGCAAGTCTCTGAATTCCCCGGTGGTATGACTTGCTCAACGACACCTCCCTTGCCTTTGGTCAGAGCAAGTCCGGAGGTTACCTGGATGTAAGGTAAGGAGCAGTGTCCCCTCTATGTGGGAGGAGCAGAAGTGGCACACTGTTAAAGGCCGAGGGAACATGAGGGCCCCTCAGCCATCTTTCACTATACCTGCACCGCCCGCCACGCCTCTGCTCCCAAGGGTTGCTGCAACAGCTCCTGCACCACCAACTTATACCAAGTGATGGGTGCGTTCTAATAAGGCTACCACAAGATGTCCCTGCAGGTACAGCTGGACAACTGGACAAGAGGGATGTCAGTGACAAAGAGAATTGCCCCTCCCCCTGCCACTTCCAGATTCACAGAAAATTCTATTTATTTCTGAATAAAAAGAGCAGAGAGCAGTGCATGATAAGCAGTGAATGCGGATTCTGATGTGCTTACCCGAGATGGGAACAGATGTATTATAGACTGCTCCTAAGGAGAACTCTAAAGGACATTCAAGCTTCAGAACAGATTCACAAAGGTTCTGAAGAAGAGCAGGTTGACATCAAGCCCTCTGGGCTTGCGAGGCAAACGGGATCAGACTGTGGAGTCTGCTGTATTCACTGCATGCAGAGGGCCCCAGGCAAGATGTGTTAGCATTAAGCCAGGTCATTCACTAACTAAGCAGTGCCCAGAGCTTCACCCCTCATGCCTTTGTCAGAGGTCAGAGCAGAAGATGAATACAAGGAAATGGAGGACGCAAGTAGAGGCTAACAACGACAAGAGCAGGAAGGAGTTGGGACGTGAAGGAATCGCTAATTCAGAAGCAGTCATTCAGCTGACCAAGGATCAACAGGTAAGAATAATTTTCTGTCTCAGGGAAGCCAAGTGCTACAAACCTTCCAAAGGAGGAGGGAAGCGACTTTCAAGAAAGAAAAGAAGGAATGGGATGTTCCCGTCAAAGGTTTTTATCGGTGCGGGTGTAGGCGCGGTGTTACCGAGATTTGAAGACCAGACTGACTCGTGTGAAAAGTTGTTCCCAGCCTGCTTTATTCAGATTGAAGATGTAAACCACACAGACTCTCTCAGCTTGATTTGAGAACATCCTAGAAATTCTCTGGCCTGCGTGAAGTCCTTATGTGAAGAAACTTGGAGGTGTTGCTGTGGGAGGGGCGGGGCTTGTATATCCCACCCCCTCACCCCCCACCATCTCTCTGCACGTGGACCTCTACATAGACCACAGGCCTGTCCAGGGTGTCTCTTGCAATGGCCAGTTTACCTCAAGGAGAAAGCTGCAGAGAATCCAGAGCAACGCGCCTGTTTATCAGAACAAGTTTTACTAGTTAGAATATCTTCAAAGCGCTTGCTGGGCATCTGTCTTCTAAATCCTTGCCAGTTTGCTCTCTGTCTTAATGATCTTGAATAAACTCTTCTTCCTGTAGTACTCAACTAGATTTTGGGCTCTTTGCTTGAAGCAGGAGAGAAACGTGTTAAATTACTCCAAATAGGGAGGGAAGTGCACGGGACTATGGTGATGGCACACGGGTGACTCGGTGATGGGAAACCCACGGGGATTACAATCGAGATAAAAAAAAAACGTACAAAATGATGTAAAAATAAACTGTTATATTATTAAAAATAAATTAGCCCCCTGGTGGCGCAGCGGGCTAAAGCACAGCACTGAGAAGCTAAAGCCACTTCAGCATGAGTTCGATTCCCGCCTACCCTGGAGGTGACCACCTGGCGCAGCAGACCTCTCCTGGCCCGCCCGCTGCTCCCCTCAGCAGTGTACCTCGTCGATCTGCCTGTTCTGCTCCCCACTCTGTCTCTGGTGAATCCTCTCACTGCCCCTGTGCCTCTGGCCTGTACCCTAGATCTGTATGCACAAATAAATAAATCTTTTTTAAAAAATGACTCCAAACATCTTTGTATATACCTCTGAACTTTGTAAGACTATCTACATCTTAAATGCATACAACAATGAAAAGCAAAAGTCATAAATGAAAGCCTGCAGTAAAGTCCCCTTCTCCATGCCACGTATACCCTAGGGATTCCACATACCCCAGTGTGGCCTTGAGAAAAGCCACAGTTTATCCTGAGGACCCAGCTCAACCTCCACATCCTGCCCTCTGCTTTCGCCATCACCCCAGTCCACCATCCTCCACGCAGAACCACAACCAGTCTAAGCAAATCTGACCCCAGCACCCCTCCTCAAAAGCGTCCCACGGCTCTCCATTGCCCCTGAGTTTGTATCCGCCTTACTAGCTAGGATCAGTTTGAGGCAGGTGGGTGAGAGGAATGATTGTCTGAGGTAAGTGCAGTGTTGGAAACCACAGAAAATGGTGCAGTATAGGCCGTGCAGGGGGACAGAGCACTGTGCCCCAGCCCCGCCCCTGTAAGGACAGAGGTGACAGTGTCTCTTATAGGGCCTTCTGCTGGCCAAGGAGCTCAGGCAGTGCCAGGAGACCCTGCAGGGAGGGACACTCCTTATGCCCACCATCTCCTGTCAAGTTTCCCCATCGAGGGCATGTGGGCCTGTGGCTGTGGTTCATGAAAGTAGGTGTCCCAGGTAGAGTCAAGTGCACAGTGGGTCTAGAGGGTCACTGGAAGCCAGAAGATGTCCTTAGCACACCGTTTACCCGGCTCTGTACCAGCTGGCCGGTTTTCTCCGTCCTCATCTCCCTTAGCCTTAAGCTCCAGTCACACTGAACCATTTGCAGTTCAGTGCACAAACCACTCTCTCTCTCTCTCTCTCTCTCTCTCTCTCTCCCTCTCTCTCTCATCCTTACACCCCTGGAGGGCCAACCTGTTCCTCTGCCCCCTCCCCGAACCCCCACTTCCCTTTTGTCCTGGCAAGCCCTACTTCAACACTGACGTCATCTATTTGCAGAAACCTCCCCTGTTGTTCCTGGTTGAGCTCAGG